TGCTGCCAAACTCGGCTAAAAAAGTCGCTCATGACTTGAGCAGATGTTTCTAGTTTTTAAGCCAGTAGGAGATTAATGGGCTAATTTAGGCTTCCTTCACACCCTTTTGCGAGCGAATGCCAACTCAGTCAAATCCACGCAGTGACTGACAAAGGAAGGCGAGCCGGCTCGGATTTAGAGCGGGGACCAGGCTCTGGGGGGTTCTCTCTTTCGTTCTGTTTTCCCGTCTGATTTTGGACAAGTCGTTCCACTTGACTCTGCCTCCACACTGGGGATGATGCATGCTCACCGCCTCTCCCTGCACGGTGAGGAGGTTACGCAGTCAGGTTGGCAGCATAATTTGGGATCTTGAGATGAAAACTTTCCCGTCACTAGCAAGGGGTAGATAGGCACGTGGAAAAAATATTAAGACGGGTGTTCAAATAAATTAAGCCCCTAATCCTGCATTCGCATTGAATGGGCTGCCACCACAGCTGCATGCACAGATTAACTGGCAGTGCGTATTTAGGTGTGAAATTGCCCGGTCTGTGATCACAAATGCTTGACAGCTGGCTAGGAATGTATTTTGCCCAGGTAATTGCACAACTGACAGGCTTGAGGGAAAGCCTGCCCTGGAGGTTTGGGGGCTTGGTCCTTTGCTTTTGGCCTTGAGCACTTCTTTTAATCTCATCATGCACAAGCTCCTTGTCTGTAAAACAGGAATAATAGCATTTGTTTGGGGCCAGAATAAATACACTAGAGATAAGGAGGGGCTTGGAGCCTGCAGTAGCAGAGCCTGTATTCATCTCATATAGATGAAAGGTCAGGCCCTAAAAGGTAGCATTAAAAAGACACCTGCGCTAGTGAGTATTAAAAGTGAATGGAAGGTCATGTAGTTAAAGCAAAGAGCCCGCCTCCTTTCCCTGCTCTGTTGCAGACTTCCTAGGTAACTTAGGCCTTTGTCCCCATTTTAGAGAATGGAAACTAGACTTCCAGACCTCTCCATGGTGATGGGAACCTAAATGAGGACAGTGTATATGAAGGGCTTTGAAATCCTTGAATGGAAGGCACCATAGCTGCTACTTTAGACTAGACACTCACATACTGCATGCGATGGTGACTGCCTCTAATGGCTGTTCCCAGTGGATATGCAGCCCTTTACTTTCCATGAGTTAAAGGAGTCCTCCTTTAGTTCAAGGGATATAAGTCTGTGCTTTTGGTTAAGGATCAGGGGTTTGATCGCTGCTGAGGTTCTGTGGGCTGTGTGTCGGCACAATAGCAGTAAGCTGCACCAACTGCACCTATGCTCCTGTGAATTGTGAACCTACAAAGGGCTTCCTATATTGTTTTTAATCTTGTACATTTGCAGTACTCTAAATAGGAAAAAAAAGACAGCCTCATTCAAATCCTACCCATATGGCTACAGTTTGTAATAAAACAGTCATCCTGGTTATTGACAGTTTGCAGCAGTTCTGCCAAGTCACTGGGCTTGATTTAAAGTGCCCCATCTGGAATTATTAGTTAAGGGCAGTTTATCAGAGTAATGATTTATTGTGTAAACAGATCCTGCTGCTGGCATTTAGAAAAACTTATCTCCCTGCCATTCAGCCAGAGTTCTTTAATCACACTTGATTGAAGGTTTCCAGCCTTGAATTATTGGTTAATGGCATCTGAGCCAAGGGATGATTTATTGGTTGAGTGAACTTTGAAATGGGAGTGCAGCGCCTGAGATACTGGACATTCAGCATGCCTCTGATGGAGCACTTTCCTTTTATCACAAAGAAAGCGTACAGCAGAAGTAGGATTTGAGTTAACCTTCTGCTTCTTCATTCTCGGATGTCAGCATGAGACCTCTTGAAGTCATCCTTCTTCTCCAAGCTCAGCTGTCATGTTATGAGTGTATTTGTGCGTGCACAAATGCATGTGTCCACACGGGTCCATGCTCTGCACCCAATTGCATATCATTGCACAATACGTGTTTTTAATGTGGAAATTCGATTCTTTCCATTCTTTGACATAAGCAGAAAAAGTTTTATCAAGGATGCCTGAAAGAGCCCACGAGCATCCTAATCAGTCTGCTGAACAAATGGGTAATCTTCAAAAACCAGCTTAACGCCCATCTTGCTGGGGTCTTCTGATCCCAGCGGCCTTTCCTGCCCAAGTGCAGGGAGGCTAGACCCAATGATCTGTAAGGTCCCTTCCAGCCCCTAACAACTAGGAAATATGGAGGTACAGGTGTTTGGAGAAAGTGGACAGCCCTGCCCACAGCTGCCAGCCAATTGTCAGCAGTGAACAAACTAGAGCTTTCTTCACCAGGGTGTAACATGAGCCACCAGGTGGCAGCCGGCATGCGACAGCTCGATACTGGGAGTGCACCATAACCTTCAGTGGTTTGATACAACTTGGCAGGGTAATATGGCAAGGCTTTCAAGTCATTTTAAGAGCTTCCAATAAGAATAATTGCACTGACAGCAGAGGTGCATTGCCTCTCCGAGTCATAGATTTCAAAGCCAGAGGGCACGGTAGTGACCAGCTGCGCTGACCTCCCGTCTAACACCAGCCCGCAGAAATCCACCCACCTGTTCCTGCATCCGGTCCAGAGAGCATCTCTAAGAGACATCCGCTCACAATTAAAAGACTCCAAGTGATAGGGAATTCACTATGCTCCTCAATGAGCTTCCTGGTGGATAATTGCTTTCACTGTTCAAAACCGTACGTTATTTCCAGTTTGAACTTTGCTGACTTCAAGTTCCAGCCAGTGGATCTTGTTTTGCCTTTGATTAAAGAGCTCTGTATAAGCACGTATGACCTCTTAACCTTTTTTTCTTTTTAAAAAGAGAGAGGGAGCACTTTTAGTTTCTCACTCTCAGGTGGGTTTTCTGGACACCAAATGGTTTCCCTTGCACCAGAGGTGCAGATGGCTAGTCAGGGAATGTGCAGAGGCCTGGGATTTATGGGGTTAACATGCTGCAGCAATTTAAAGCTAGGATTTTTAGTTCTGCCTGAAGATCTGAAACAGAAAGTAGTCCTATTGAGCCATGATCTTTGGACCCCTAAGACTAAATAAGAAAAGATTAAACTGAGAATATAAATGTAGGGGGAAGGGGAAAAAAAAATCTAAGTCTTCATATTCATAGGACCCTTGAAGCGAAGGAGCCGGTTGTTGTTTCTGTAACCATTTCACATCGTGATATGCCAAGTTTGGCAGAAATTCATTCTCCTCAAGACTATGCTGTGATATCCAAACCATATCTCACAGCATAGGGATGGTCCTACCTCTGGCACCAGGTTGGACTAAATGACCTCTGAAGGGCCCTTTCAGCCGTACGTTTCTCTGACCCCCTCTACACATCACAGGTATCAAGCAATTAACCACTTAATTGCATAATTCCCTTGAGACCAGCGACATGTGCAAAGCAGCCATAAAGAGCTCCAACGAGCTATAAAAAGTTAGACCTTGAAAATGTGTGCTAAATTTCTTGCTGGTTGGTACAGAGCTTTAATTTGCATATGTAGCAGGGTCGCCCCTGCGGCTGGGAGCCCTATCAGCTGACTGCACTCCCAGCTCCAGGGGTGCACCATGCCCAGCCAGGGCTGTGAGTCCTGCAATTGAGGGGACTCAGCCCCAGCAGCTCCCACTCTGGGGCCCAGCAGCACCCCACACAATCCTGCAGCTGCAGACATTGGCTTCCTGTACCGTGCCTCTCCGAGCTGGAACCGTAGCTGCCATGATCTCCCAGCCCCACGGGTTGTGTGCATCCCCAAGGCTGGGAGGCTGCAGCAGCTGCATCTCTCAGCCCCAAAGGTGCATTGGGTATCCCTGTAGCTTAGAGCCCCTCATCTTTTAATTCCAGGGGCTGGCTTCTTGCCAGTGCAGGGGGAGCCCGGGATTAGGTTTCCTCTGCACTGGCGATAAAACACGATGAGATCTAATGCACTACCTGCCTGCATGTGTAGAGAGGCTCTAGGAGTCTGTAATCTGGAGAGCCATCCTGCCCCCTGCTATGTTAGCTCCTGAAAACAACTAATGGGCATTGGAAAACCAGTTTTGTAAATGGAAGATGCCAGCCCCTGACAAATGGAGGCAAGATGTTTATCACTTATTGGTTCAATATAATCTGAAGTGTGACCCTTTTGCTGAGAGCTTAGCCCTTCAGCAGGTATGCAGGACCAAGTCTTACCTAAAGAAGATTCAGTATAAGGACATAGGACAACGTGAACAGAGACACCAGGGCTTGATGTGCACAAGCAGGTGAGAATTGCAGAGAGGGCTCTTGAGAGACAAGGCCCTGCTATTGAGGCAGGTGCAACTCATAGGCTGAAATACCTGTTTATTTTAAACATATAAAAAAGCACAATCCAGATTTCCCCAAAGCAAAAGAGAAATGCCAGTTAAATCACAGTTAATAAAAATCAGTAAAAAAGCATCTTATACATGCAACAAAGTACCTGTCTTGGACAGTGACAGCCCCCCAGCCCAGCAAGACACTGCAAATAGAGTCCCTTAGGAGGCACTTTGCCCTTATACCTAAAACGGGGCTATGTTCTGCATTAACAAGTAATTAAACTGGACCTCACCCCACCTCTGTGGGTTTGGGGGAGGAATCCAGACAGCAGTTAGAGACTTCAGATGTAGGAGCAGCTGCAAAAGAAGCTGAGGCCAGGACCTGTACCCATTGGCTCTTTGCTCCAACCCTCTCCCTGTCCATCCTCACAATGTCTGCACTTCAGCTCCACCCCAGCCTTGGAAAACTTCCTCTCCCTGCCTTACCCCATGCCTTCCAGGTTCCCCTCACCCATCACTGTCCTTTCCATTCAACTAATCCTCTCCAAAAATTCTGGAACCAATGTGACATTTGCTGCCATCGTGTTTGCTCTGCTTGTGTTCCCTGCTCCTTCACATGCCCCGCACCTGTTTCACCTTTTCACACTGCAGCTCATTGGGACACAACTTGAGTTGTGCAGTGCCTAGCACAAAGAAGCCCTATTTGTGGCTGGCCCTTAGCAACTGCCACACTGAATCTTGCTGCCTGCACTGACTGTTGGTGCCTCCTCTGTGACCTCCCAAAAAGAAAGCACATTAATATGGACTTGCAAAAGTCTCCTGCAGGCTGGCCAGTATATTACAGACTGACGATGCAGCTTTTAGTGAATGGAATAAGACAGGCGAGTTCTGTGCCATAATCTTTAAGAGAGAAGCTTTCCCTCTTTCCCCCCACCCCCAGTCCTGTACCAGCTGCTGCATCGATCACGATGTTCATTTTGCCAGGAGGAAGCCTGTGTCCTCCCCGCCAGGCTGCCCAGCACTCCCCTGCAGCAACCGTTGAAGAATGATTAGCATTCCCTGATATGCAGCTCTATGGGCACTTCCATCTGTTTCCTTTGCTCTACCAAAGCAGACTCCCACTATGTAGTATCTAAGTGGTGGCTGGTCCTTTCATTCCCTGCAGCCAAACAGACCAGACTGCCAGGCCAAAGCTCACATTTGCACATTCAATTAGACAGAAGTGAGCTCTGACCCACACAAACAAAATGTAAGCCACCACCACGGGAGGGAGAAGTTCAGTCAGCTGCAGAAAGAACGGTGGATGCACTTGGGCATGACCAAGAACTCAGCCTTCACTGCCTCCCAACATCAAACTTTGCCTTTACTAGAATTTGGGGCTTGCTGACTGCCCTAAATCCCCAGCACATCTACTACGAGCATGAAGTCACCCCATCTTGGCCACCTGGAGCAAGGCTGATGCCCAGATGAAGGTGTACATAGGCACCTCTATGTTGTCAGCTCAGTCCATTCAGCACCTGGTGCTCTCCCAGGGAGTACTTGGCACTTTGGTGGCACAGCGGCTGTAAGAGCACTGTGAGAAGCTGCTTGTGGCTCAGTGGTGGCAGCTGAGGTTAGTCACCAGGTCTGCCCAGAGATAGCTGCATGCATACACAGCCTTTGTCAGATTAGTTTAAGAGGATTCAAAAAGAAACTCAGCCACTGGAAAACATCAGCAGAAAGTGCTGAGTCCTTGATCGGTTACCAAAGGAGGCCAGGAATGTGCTACGTGATGTCAAAGACGTTGCACTTCAGTCTCTTCAGCTAAAACAACTGGATTAACTCTAGTTAAACTAAAAAAGCCTTCCGCTGGTACCAAAGGGCCCAGCACACCTGGCAGAGAAGGGAAGGGAGATGAAAAGCTACTCTGTGAAGTCTCCACCATCTGCCTGTCAGCTCTTCAAGGTACAAACCTAGCAAAGGTTTAAACAAAATGAAAACAAAACAATAAAACCCAAACCACTGTCTGGCTGCATTTGTGGGATATTGCTCAGCCATGCACAGAGCTTTGTGCCAGGACTTTCCCTGAAGCAGAGAGCCTGCCAGGTTCAGCAGATGTTTGTGCTCAGCATGAGTCTCTTCAGATCCAAGCTAGTCTGGTATAGGCCCTGCAGCTCCATCACTGCTACAATTGAAATCCCTTCTGGCAGATTTCTTCCAGAGCTGTAAACTTGGGTCCCAGAGTATTCAAGAAATCCACTGGCAGCTCATCATCAGTCATGGGGATAGACATGCAGGAACTATATCTGTCTAGCTCTCCCTCTTCGACATATACATGAGGTTGGTACATGATTACATTGTCCTCCAGGTCACTGATGCAAAAGAGCTTCTGCAAAGGAGAAAGAAAGCATTCAGGCAACAAACCACCATAGAGGCTTCCCAAACTATTATGTCCTTTTGGAAGTGAAAGGGATTCTTAACAGGCAGCATGTCAGCAAGGATGATACCCAGGATGATACTGCAGAAATACGGGTACTCTCTCCCTCAGAGCATTCACTTTATTGTCAAACAGTGACAGAAGCATCAGTTCCACCCAAGCCTACCCTGGAATGAAGAGCTGCAAAGTCGATTTGATCTTCCCCCACAAAGATAATGAACCTGGCCAGGAAGAAAAAATGCCAATGCATATGCAGCAGCTCTACAGAATGGCACAGCGAAGTGGTAAGAAGAGGCTTTGAATAAAAAATACAAGGTCAGAGCCAGCACAGACTGGAGCACAAGGTTGCCTGGCTTCCTAGAGCAGGCAGCACCCTGGCACCCACAGCTGGCCCATACAGAAAGAGGTGTATGCATCTCAGACATGCCAGCAGCCAGGTAACCTGCATGACCCAGCAAGAAGTGCTGTGATGAGACCTCTGTGGCAGGGGCTCACAGCCAGTGGTGGATGGCCACCTCTTCTCACTCCCTCCTCCTCTATGTTGCTCTCATCAAGTGGTTCATATCGCTATGTCACTGAAAACATCCTGCCTGCTCTACCTTCATGTATATATCTCATCTCTTCGCCTACACTTCTTATTTTGGAGGTGGGATATGGAAGGGCTGTGTCCTTTCCTCCCTGGGCTTTCCTTCGATGCCGGTACCATTTTCTTGGAGAGTGTTATTGTCCCGAGAGGAGCTGCAGCAGAACTGTTGAATTCCCCAGGCGACTCCTGTGCTCAACAGCCATGAGCCATTTGTCAAGGGAAGGCTTCCAAAGCAGCATTCCTTACCTCATTCAGCATTTCACCCACTGTCTCTGTAATCCTGTTGAGGCGCCTCCCAAAACTGGCATCCGATCTGGAATAAGGGATACCCTGAAAAACAGGCATGGCCTCAGAGCCTCAGCAAAGCGAATGTCTTCAGGGAAGGCTTTATATTTGTCATTCAGGTCATAAAGAAACTAATCTGCACTTACTGTACCTTTACACCCACTTCCCCGGGGGCCTGTTCTTGTCTACTTAAAAGGCAAGCTTTTCTAGGTAGAGACTGCCCCTTCCTCTAAGTTTCTATGCTTAGCACAATGCAGCCCCCAGCCTTGGTTAGTCCTTAGGATTATGGCAACAACCGGCTTCCTAATAACAATTCACAGTATTCTTTCTAGTGAAGTACTCCAAATATAGGTCACCATGCTACAACCATGCAAACTGTCCTTACTTACAGGACTAGCGAGTTAAGCAACTATGATGGAATGGGGTACCTCCCAACACAAAATAAAAATGATATTATGCTTTATATTATTTCTAACTTTCTCTCAGATTGTTCTTGAGGCCTACCAGTGAATGTAATGCAATTATAGGCATTATAGTTACATGAAAATTGTGATTGTCACTTAAGTGTAAACTGAGAAACAGAAAAAGATGGCCAAAAGGGGCCTCAAGGGGTCTAGTCTAACCCTCTGCCCAAGGCAGAAGCATCTGTGACTAAACCATCCCAATTGTGTTTCTCTAACTTTACATTAGTCTGTTGACATTCTTTTAAACAAACGTGAAACGGTGGCATGACTGAAGTAGAGATTATTGGTTAATACTAAAGGAAAAAAAACCCAGCACCACCAAAATAAATTGCTCAACCTGAAACATTTCTCAGAACCCTAAACTAGCTTGTAAAATTTACTTACAGATGAACCCAGGTCATAATGTCTTTCAATCAGTGTAGCGGGGGGTGATAATGACACTGTGTTTCCGACCTAAAATGGGAAAAGTTCAAATTTCATAATTATCTTATCAGAAATTTTAGTTAAAAATCTGGAAAAAAATTATTCTAAAGACTGCTCAATAGACTGTGTCAGCCTCAGAAGGTAATGGCTTGAGAAAAACGTTTTTGAATAGTGACAGTATGGTTATTTTCAGATTGGATTATATTAAGTTCTTGTGTTCTCCGCCATGCTGCAAGCCAGCCACAACTACAGTTGTACAAAAAGAGACAGTTGCCTTTGCAAGAATTAGTGATTACCTGAACAATTTGTTTTCCTCCTCTAATTTCTGTATGCAGCATGGGTTCCATAGCATGATCTACAGCATCTGGATTAGCCTACACAGGAGTGAGATACATTAATCAGATGTACTGAGTATAGTGAATAAACAGGCTGGTATAACATTGCAAATAAAAACATAAAAGCCATTAAAATTTCTACTCAGTACCTAACCATCCTGCCTTACTACACACCATTAAGATAAGATGTCCAGGAAATGCCTGGAAATCCACTGGAAAGGTAGGAAAAGTGTTCTGTCTGCTACCATAACCTGCACCACAAAATGCGTCATTCTTCCATCATGTTCAGCTAAGAAAGGGGACAGTGTTCTGCTCAATAACAAATAAAAGGAAATAGGAGCAATACAATTAAATTGCACATCTCTAGCAGATTTGATGTCTATTGGACCTGGTAAATGCATACTGCATACCTTACCTGAGACCAAGAGCTTCCACCTTCTGCATTGTAGTTCATCAAAGTCTGAACACCTTCTACAAATGGTGGGTAGACCTTTCTTTCCTTGCTTCTTGATGCACAAGCACACCAAAGTAGAACACAGGTAACCACTGAAAATAGGAGAGGAGGTCACCAGAGCTGCCACTGATACTTTAAGATACTGAGTCAGTAGTCTATCTAGTCCAATACCCCGTTTCTGACCGTGGCTGGCCCCTGAAGTCTCTGAAAAAGGGGCAACAGGCAATGGGCAATTGCCTGCAAATCCTAGGCAATTACTTACGCAGTAACAACAGGAGAGTTGCCAAAACTGCAGCAATGGCACCACTTCCAAACCTCACTTTCATGGGTTCAGCAATCTGCTCTGGACACGTATGCCCATCTAGGCAAAGGCAGAGTCTTATATTCAGGATCTCTGTCTCAGAAAATCCTTGTCTGTCCAGAATCTTGAGAGGCACTAAATAATCACCAGGTGAGAGGCTTCGCAACATTAAAAGTTCAGCTGAGTCACCTGGAAAAAGAAGCACAAAAATTTCTCAATTAAAAGCAACAAACAGCCTGAAAACACAGTGCTGAGGCAGATGGGAATTTCTTCCACTTAGCGTCCTTCTAAGTTACATATGCAAAATGGGAAAACTTATCTGAAGCACCAAAAATCAGAATGCTCAAGGATAGGTCAGGGGTGGGCAATTATTTCAGCTGGAGAGCTGTTTAACGAGGTTTTGTGGGCTGCCAAGGGCCACAAGGGTGACCCCACCCCTTGACAAGCGCCTGACCCCTGATTGCCATCTTGGGGCTGGAAGTCCCTCCCCCTAGCCCCCTGACCTTTGCCATTGGAAGTCTCCCCCCCCCTTACCCCCAGAAGTACTTCTTCTGAGAAGGAGGTTTGCCATCTTGGAATCAGAAAAAGTTATACATGCTAAAAATGTAACATTCTCAATAACATATTTTAATTTTTTTTTTTTTTAAATTGTTGTCCTGATTTTTATGTGTTTGCATTGTGTATATAGAAGTGATTGAATAATATCTCAAAATGCAGTCTTACTCTAGTATATTGCAGGGGTGTGGAGAGATGGGGGAGTAAGGGGTTTGTGGGGGGTGTGGGGACATGTGAATGGTTGTGGATGTGTAGGTATGGGAGGTTTATGGGGATGTATGGGGTGTGTGTGAGTGGATATGAGTTGGAGAAGGTGGGGAGGTATGTGTGGGTGCGTGTGGGGAGGAGGAGGGTGGCTGGGAGTGTTTGTGTGGGTGCATGCATATGGTGGGGTGTGTGTGTGTAGCAGTGAGTGGGGCTCCCCCCAGATGTGTGCAAGTATGTCAGGTTTGTGGGGGGGTGTGAGGGAGGGTGTGGATGGGTGCAGTGTTTGGTGGGTGTATGATTGCATGTAGGGGAGGGTGTAGTTGTGAGATTTGTGGGGGCGGGTTTGAGGGTATGGTATGGTGTACATGTCCCCCCCCCCAAGCTGGTCAGCTTTTCCCTTGTGTTGACCAAGAGTTTCTGCCCAATACCACTACTGCTGCTGCTGCCGCCACTGCTGAGCCTGGACAGGCGAGTCCGGAGCAAGCACAGGGTGCACTGGGTTGGGGCTGTGCACACAAGTACCATGGGGCTGGAGCCAGTGGCAGCAGGTGGAAGGAGCCACCACTGCCTGAGCTGTCTCGAAAGGCAGTCCAGCCATGGAGCCACCCCAGGTTCACTGTGTGCCCAGGGGGCAGCAGGATGCACCATGGCTAGGTGGCGCTTGGGCCAGGTAGGACCAAAGGGCCCACCATGGGCTGGACAAAGCCCCTCCATGGGCTGGTTCCAGTCTGTAGGCTGCCTGTGCCCACCCCTGGGATAGGTGCACAGGTGTGTGTTGATTTGATATATAGCTACCAAGACTGCAGGTGCAAACTGGATAACCATGTGGACAAATGTGTTTAGTGTTTGCTAACCTCTGGCTACTACAGCCAAAAAACAGCAGCACTTTCCAGCATGCTTAATGCTTCTATGTACTGTCTATATATATGCTATGTATTTCCACAGTGTACTGTGTTGATAATCAGAAGAAAAGTTCAAAAGAAAAGTTTCCACCCCATCAGAATTGTTGGAGGCTTCAAAACACAAGCTTGAATGATACCAAAGTGTAGAATTTAACCCATTACATGATAACATACTGTAAGCTTTAAAGATGACTGTGCCATTGTGAGACAGAGGATGACAACATAAGCAGGGATTTCACAATGTCTGGAAAAAAAAAAACTTACCGAACTGCCTTCCTAATTTCCAGTTATGCTTAACAGTGTCAGAGTTATCTGCCAGCTCAAATATGAAAGGACCAGAATATGGATCCAAGTCATTATCCTCAGCTTTTATGACGAGGGTTATAATTCCTTCTCGGTCACAAACTTCCAAGAATGGGGCAACTAATTTTGGCATGTTATCATTAATATCAGACAGGTAAAGCAGAATGGTGCCGGTGCCAGTTTGAGGTGGAATACCTAGTCAGGAAGAAAGAGCGTGACTAAAAGAGTGCCAAGAACCAAGAGTCTGGTGTGGTTCCTCTCCCCAGATTGCATTATTATTCAGTTAGTAAGGTGTAAAGATATTAGGATTTTCTGCACTGTGATTCTTCAGATCCATGAGCAGTACTTTGTATTTCTGTCCCATCTGGCATCTCAGATGTACTTTCTGAACAATAAAAATGAATGAACCCACGATCTGCTCACACCCTCCTCACTTTACCCTGGCTCCAGCATCCCCACTTCCCAAAGGAGGAGCGGGGGTAGAGGGAGCTCTTTTCCTTGTTCATTTTCACCCTGATAGTAGGAGCTATTTTACACTTTTCATCCCCTTAGGTCACACCTTAAAGCCCTTGCTCAGGAATGGTGGCATTTTTCTCTGTGGTTTGTGCAGGAACTTACCATCATCAACAGCATGAACAATAATGGAGTACAGACTATTGTTCACATACGGGGATTCCCGATCAAGCTCTTTTACAGCAGTAACAAGTCCAGTGTTCTCATCGACATTCACCCACCCGGCTGGGTCATGGACTAGTCTGTATCTAAGAAAGACAAAGAGGTTCCAAAACCCCATAATTAAAATCACTTTGGGATTCAAATACCATTATGATGCAACAGTGGGGGTTCCCAATTTTTTGTTAGTGCTGATTTTTGGTGAAAAATGGAGAAGTCAGTAGGGACTACGTTTTGGTTTACCGGTGAAAAGGCTTCCATAGAGGGTCTTCATAATGTCCTTGTGCACTTTTAAACTTTAATAACTTAGGTTGTAGGTATGATAGAAACAATCTGTCAATGGCATTTAAAAGCAAATGTATTAAAGTTTGAGGACAACTAAAGTACACAATGCTAGACGTCAACAAAACCACCATCAATACTATCTTCCAGCTCCTTGAAAATGTTTCCGAAATGCTCTAAAGTTATTGCACTAATTACACTGGTGATCCTAGCCCTAAGTTCCACCAAATAACGTGGTTTTGACAAGTAAATTACACTTTTTAACATGTACCCATAAAAAGAAGTCCAACAGCAAGAGGTCAGGTGAACGAGGTGACCAAGCAATTGGTCCACCTCTGCCTATCCACTTCTCTGGGAAAAAGTAATTTAGGAACTGTCATACATTCAGAGTATAGTGGCACAGAGCTCCATCTTGTTTAAGAATAAATTTGTTATTACTTATGAAGTCTAGCTTTTAGGACGACTAGCGTACACAATCTTTAATAAACTTGCTTTTAAATGCCATTTACAGATTGTTTCCATCATACCTACAACCTAAGTTAGTAAAGTTTAAAAGTGCACCAGGACTTTAAGACGACCCTGCATAGGCAGTATTCCACCTGCTAGTAATATGGCTTATCCCTCATCCTTCACCTGGAAAGACAACTGCTACAGCAAGAAGGTCATTTAACTTCCATACCAGTTGAATCAGAAAAGAGTCATCAAAAGGTGCCATAATTTTATTTATGGGCTCAATTCTGTGCCCATACTGTGGGCTAAATAATGTCCTTAGCATTTTTAGCGTCCACTTTATTCAAGCAAGGATGGCAAAATCAGGCCCTCTGTGCTTACAGCTGCAGAAGTAGGACCAATCATTTTTTGCTCAAGTCTAAAAGCATTCAGTTAATCTGAAGCTCCAGCATCCTTACAGCAGCAGCACTAGGAGGTGTTCTTGCTGATGATGAAAAAGCTCCTTGTACTTCTTAACGCCTTCCCCAGCCAAGATGTAGCAGTGTCTCCACTCACTTTATCTTATTTGGCACCATGTCTGAATCCACCGCGGTGTATGTTCCAAGCTTCGTCCCGGGCTTCACACCTTCGTCTTTCTGAAGAATAAGTTTGGGAGGGTCAAATCGAGGAGCATCATTTCTATCTACAATGCTGACACTCACAGATGCAGTGGTGGGTGTGACAGGATGGCTCCACTTCTTGCTTGCGTTGCATGTAAAAAAAGGCTGCTCGTTTACAACAGAAATGACAAGTCTCCTTTGTATGGCACCTTCATAGTCCAAAGGCTGCAAACCCCAAACAGAAACTTCCGTTAGTGATCATGACTTTTTTTCCTCTCTCTGTAAACAAGAAAAGATGTTTCCACATTGCCGCAGCTGAAATTACTGATGTTGCTATAGCATCCCATGTTTAGTCAATACTCTTACCTTAATAACGCTTAAAATCCCCTCATTTGTTTCAGGATCAGTCTCAATCATGAACTCTTCCTTTTCATTGCCTTGTACTATGTTGTACTTTGCTCTCCATGCAGGTGTATTGGGAGAATCTGGATCTTTCACCTGGAGCCTCAGCACACCTGGCTGTTCTTTGCCTTCAGGAATTTGTAGCTCATACTGAAAGAAAAAAATGGATTGTTTCAGCACTGTCTAATCAGGAAGTATTGCATTCACCTAACCAGGCAGGCCAGGTTCTGTATCACAATTGCAATGCCAGGTCCTTCTGATCTGCTTCGTACAGAGGCCTTGGGCATTTGCAGTGGTTCTAGCAGCTCCCGGTCCCACTCTTTACCAGAACCTGTTCATCAATAAAAAGGAGATGCTGTGAATACCCAAGGCTAGGTGATCTCTGTTCAATCAGATTTCCATTAAAGGACTCAGAGAGACTGTGGTAGAATCTTTTTCAGTCTTAACTTACGTAAGATAACTGCCATCATTAGGCTTCCTGAGAGTCTCGTTTCCTCCTCACCCCAACCCCTCCACCTCCACTCGGCCTCAGTCTTTAAACACTAATTAAAGGATAACACTGGTAGACTGGAGAAATCACCACTGCTACTAGAGCCGTAGCTGTTAGTGTGGACTTCATCCCCCCAAAGCCCAAACCTTGCCTTTAAACCTGCTAGGGCAAATGCATATAACCTTGTCCTACCAACCTCTAGCAAACTCTCGGACTGCAGCTGAATACCTCTTTGGGTTTGAAACTTAAGCCAGAGGTTTGTTTTGTGCAATGTGTAACAAATACTGCCAAGAAGGAACATTTTTTATAGTCTGTGGTTTCAGTCCTTCTTGCCAACACTGACAATGAAGCCTCCCACCTTTCTACGCTTGAACTTGCAAGTTACAAAACCAGTTTTAACCTGTTGTTACACAGATGGAAAATATTTGCTGGGCTACAACCCTCAAATTCTCTGACTGTTCACAAGCTGATTTGTTAGCTCTTGTCCCACTAATAAATAAATAGAAAAGGCTGTGATGGAGGATAGCATGCTCCCTAGAGATCAAGAGATAGGTGGGTGGTTACAACTACGTTCACTTCAGGTCAAAGCCAGGGTTCCTTTCTCCAGCAGAGAATCTTTGTTTCCCTGAGAAGTCAGGAAGGCTGCATCCTGAGGAGAGGTCTGGTTCTCCTTGGTTCTTGGAGCTCCTCTGCCTCTCAGCACAAGGTAGGATTCAACAAACAGTTAAGAGCGCAGGCTGTAAGATGCGTTGTGAAACTCTAGTAACATTCAGCCTGTGCTCCAAAAAGTTAAAATAAGCAGCCTAATTCAACAAATACACTGGAGTAGAAGGGAAAAGTGGCAGGAATGGCCTGATCCTGACTATGAAACCAACCCACCCAAGTGGTCCTACTCTCCCAGGAACTACCCCAGGCTTTTTAGCACTTTCATGCAGAAATGGCACTAATCAAAACCTTTTAGAAGCCAGTCTCAGTTCCTAGCAGCCACTAAATTTACAGCTGACAACACCCAGGCACTGATGTTCTGGCCTTCAAAGAGGTTTTTTCCCCTACCTGACACAGTGCTGTTTAATCCAGACCCCACATTCAAACACGTTTGGGCCTGATTTAATAAGACGCCAAGAGCTCCTAATTTCACCAGTACGTGCCCTCAACACTTTGCACAATTGAATGTGCTCCTTTGCAGGAGGCTCAGTAAAGTAGCTCTACTTTCTTCTCACTTTTTCCTTAAGAAACACAGGCAGGTAGTTGTTTTCTGAATCTTCAACAGCAACGTTAACTATTGCTGTGGACGACATCCGTGGGCTTCCATGGTCTCTGGCTTCAATCAGGAGCTGGAAAGAGCTGGCAGCCTGGAAAAACAAAACAGTTCAGGTTCAGAAACAATTACTTCATTTTTCTGATCATTGCTACAATGCTGATCCTTTCAACCAGTCATACCTCTGAGAGCCCCACTGCCCCACAGACTTCCTTAAGAGACTAAAGATGCCCGTGGCAAGTAAGCACCCACACAATAAATAAAAGAATGTAATATGTACTTTACCGCATAATCTAGGCATCCTGAAATATGTATCAGCCCGCTGGTAGAATCAATAGTAAATCTGGGCTCATCTGAGAGCGGCATTTGCTTAGTGAGGTAATAGGCCACTCTAGAGTTATCAGTGCGTTCTTCATCTTTGTCAAAGGCTGTCATTTGGAGTACTGGCTTGTCTAAGATGAAAAATCAAGGCATTTATTACAAGTGCTCAGTACTGATGTGGGCTACTCAGGCCTAACAATGGCCCTTATCATGTTCCACCACTTCCCTGCCTCACCATCTGCTTGTCTGACAGAGATGTCCTCTCAGTCCCTACACAATGTGCCTCTTCAAATGAGCTGATATTTGCCATAGGAGAACCTCCTCCTCTGCAGCTCCTGCCTCTTCTCCCCCCATGATAACTACCTCTGTAATCATGCTTAACCACCTCGCTGGGGAGATCAGCTTGTATCTAATACTGTACCAAATAAGGATATGCTAGAGGCTGTAAAACACAGGGACAGTGGAAAAAAACCCTGCTCATACCCTGTTCACTTTCCCTTTCGGTATCCACTCTCTGTCACAGGATACTGGGTGCACCCATAGTCTGATCCACTAAATGGCAATTCTTATGTGTTCACTGGATTTCAGTGTTTCTGGAAACAAATGATTCATCAGTTTTTAATCCAGGCATGCTGTCCATCAGCCTCGAAGAACCTAACCCCACCACCGGGTGCTCCCATCACTGCTACTACTGAGCACCTCTCTCTACATTTCTGTTTGTTCATCATCTGTAAAAAGCTGGTTAAAGGGCCTATGTGGAGTCCTGGAGACTGAAAGACAATTATTCTGTACTGAGGACTGTAAAAGGAATGGGATATGGATTACATCTATGGAGGTCTTATTCTAGCTATAAATAGTCTTGAGGACTATTTATTCTCACTAAAGTCAATATGCGTTTTTCCAGTGCCAATGCACATATTTTCTTATAGTCTTGAGGAGCATATGACCCACAACTATTTCCAAGCTGAATCAACCCTCCCTACTTCCCATCTCATAGGTTCTCTCTTTATTCTCTTTATGACCTCTCCATTTTTGTACCATCGTTGACTTCTGAACCTTGTGAAAGGTAAAAGACCTAAGAGCTTTGAAGAGCTACCATCCCTGTCCGGTCACCATGGCGTTGCTGTTCTCTTTTTAGAGTCAATGTAAGCAAAAACTTTAGGGTTAAAGCACATCTGCACCAAGATGTTTAAGGGAAGCATTCATTATAAAGCTTCTCTAAACTTGAAAGAGATTCTGCTTTAAGACTCATTCTTGGCAACACCATTCAGATTCAGATTAAAGGCAACTCCACCAAAAATTCCCTCTTTTCTTGCATTTTTCATATACGCATGAATTTCAGACTGATTATCTCTTTGGTTAATGTTACAATACTGAAGTCACAAGGGGTAACTGAGGGAGAGATTTACAATATCCCTGCACATCCTGGCAGGTTTTGGATGAGACTGAAGTCATTTTACTTAGAGTAGCAAGCAATATACCTAGGAGCAACTGTTTACAGAAACAACACCCTCAAGACTAACCAGGAATATATATTACAGTTTATTACTTCTGACTCAAGCAGGAATGGGATGTTGTTCATTGAGTCCCTGAACCAATCTATGTTTGCCTACAATCCAGGGAGAAGAAAAGCAATTTAAAATATAGCCGGGAATAAGCCAATGATGTCCCTTATATATCTACTTACCTGCACTGTGATTTTCTTTTATCATAACGTTATATTCTGCCATAGGAAACTCAGGTGCATTATCATTAATGTCTTTAATCTTAATTTTGAAGAATAAAGATGTGTCTATTTTTTCACCAGTCTTTTTGTTTATAACATCAAAACGTATCTAAAATGGACACCAATGCAGATACCAAGTTAAATTTCAGAAGCAAGCAGGACACTTTTTGCTGTGTCCTGTTTCAGTTATAACCTGATAATGCCTTTGTTTTGCTTCACCAACAAATAATAAAGTTACTCCACTTGGCTAAGTAAGTATGGTTCAGTTATCCTTTGAACTGAAAATAAAAAGTGAATGCTTCATACATTTTGTAAAAACTGAAAATGCAGCTGTGTGTTTGAGGCACTTCAGGAAAACTACAGACAAGGGAATACAGCTCTTTCATGGGCTAGATTTTCAACCCTAGTTTCTAATTGTATGGACTCAGTTTTGATCATGCAACTATTTTGTTCATAACTACCCAAAACAAGCAAAGAGCTTTTAAGAACTTTAACAACAAGTACAGTTTAAAGAGATCTTATGCTGGCTCTTAATACATATTTAAAATGAGAGAGATGGGAATAAGGAACAAGCAATAAAAAGTGGGAAAATATCAGTAATCATGACTTGCATGATGCACTGAATTTGCTCTAGCTAAATTTGTGGCCCTTGCATGTTTCCTTTCCATGAACACTTCAGTGATTAAGTTTTGAACTCCCATTTGCAGACTTTCATGGACTGAAACAAATAGCTTGAACTTCTGTCCTGACGTGTTCACATGTTCATCTCATCAGAAAGAAGATTTAATCTGGTTAACCCAGAGGGCAGAATTCTGTCCAGAAATCACCGTGAAATACTGAACATCCAGAAGGGAAACTGCTATGAGGCAGCTGAAATCTACTGAAGATACCTGTGAGCAGATACATAATCCAAACTATTTGTTCAGTTTGCCCAATAATAAAGTGCTCCCTCTTAGGCTGTGTCCAGATGTGCGTGGACATTTGGTTCCCTGGAGACAACTAGCAGATGCGCACCTTGCATCGCCACTAGTTGTCCCCGAGGAATGCCTGTGCCACATGCACACTGGCACATAGCCAACTACCTTGGGTGGGGTAGGAGAGACTGGGACCAGCACTGGGCTGGCCCCAGCAGCCTTACCTGGGGGCCTGCGGGCCTTCCAGAGCTGCAGCTGCAGTGCTCCTGCCACGCGGAGCCAGGCTGGCAACAGAGGGTGGCTCCGGCCAGGCTTCAGGCAGCGCACACTGCCACCTCGTGCATTGCTCCACCTTTTTTTTCTCCTGTTTTTTTTTTTTGACCCCTGGATATCCAAGGGTCAAAAAAAAAACCCTCCATGCTGCTCCCTTGCAACGCAGAGAACAATGGAACATGCAGAATGTGGCACCGCACGGCCATGCTCATGTGACCTTATAGGGCAACCTTTTGGCTACCCTAACACAAGCTCATCATAAGTCTTCAATTCCTTTGCTAATCATCACAGACAATTCATATGTGCCACAGCAGAAGCTTGCCTCCAGTATCAAAGCAACAGTGCCGTAGTACTGACAGTATTCAGAGTTTTGGTTTTACAATGCAGTTTTTTGGTTTCTATGCCTGTAACCTATCTTGATAATTCGAACAAGTCTCTGCCTTCAGGGTACGATCTGGTTCATAGTACAGTCACTGTAACTATGGAAAGAGTACAAAAACCTAAGCTTTGACACTGATTGATGTTTAAATAATCTAGGTATCTGAATAGACACCATTGGCTATACAAATATTATAGCAACTCAAAGGTAGAAACAAATACAGACTTGAAATTATTATTGGAATTTTTCTTTCATGTGAAATATTTAGCACTAGGAGAACAATTAAGAGGTTCCATGTGTTTGTTCTATCAAACTATACTTACCAAAAAAGAGGAGTTTCTCTCTCTATCAATGCTGCGATGTACATATACGTGCCCATAGGCATCATTTTTTATACTGAACAACCCAATGTCTGGGTACATATCTACTCCAGGTCCACTGATTAGATATGTTGCGAAATGGTGAATTGAATTATTATTGAACAGCTACAAAAGAAACAGAATAGTAGTGAAAATTTGGTCACATTAGAAGGATGAAGTTTCAACACCCAATTCAAAGGTTTTAAAGATACGCCATCAAAATGTTAAGATAATGTATTGATTTGGTGCACTCTGTAATCGTGGTTGTGCACCCTCCCATTTGGAGAATGAATGAATGATGTATGGGATAATTTTTAGGTATTTTGCCTGGAATAGAAAAATCTTAAAAATAGTGATCAAGGCCTTGACATTAAGACCGTGATAGCAACTGATAGAAAGACAATTCAGTCGGGCTCTAATGAAACCCTACTACATAAACGGTTCAAAAGAGCAGTTGTAACAAACTGATATGTTAAAGAACAACAGCTCACCAGCTCAGGATGATACACACACATGTTCTGAACCAGCTTAACAAAAACGTATCTTAACTGCTATCAACCATCTATTGCATCTCATTAGAATCAGCAGCTAGACTAATACACTTGTCTTTAAAAGAGGCACTGGGAGCGACAATTACTGAAACTTCACATCAGTACCCATGAAATTGGTTGAAACCACAATTAAAAACAGAATTGAAAAACCAATTAAAAACAGAAATGCCTAAATGAATCCACTAGGGCAGACTATGCCTGTTCCTGTTAGAAACTTCTCCCCTTGTATTCTTTGAATGTGTCCAGAGATAGCAAGTAAAAGGATAACCAAGTAACAGTTGATCTGGACTTTGCTCAAAGCCTCTCACACAAGGCTATTAAAAAAGTAAGTAGCTCTGGGTCAGAGGTGAAGTCCCATTACAGATGAGAAACAAAAGATTCTTGTTAAGTAGGAGAAGGCATACACAAATACAAGCTTTAATTCTCTGCGGATTTTCTCCCCTATATAAACCTCAATGCCTTAGGAATTAATGGTTAGGAAGACACTTCTTCATGGGCAAGTGTGTGATTACTACAAATCCCACACCACACAGGATGGGGTTAAGGAGGAACTATGACTTCAAACATCCCTGCCCCTACCACACCTGTAAGGAGGCATGTCAGACCTATGGCAAAGGTCCTAAATGGGGGACAGGGGAGGGCAGGTATCCTCTCCTTGGCTCCTGGGGAGGTGGGCAGAAGTTCTCAGCTGGCTGTTAGGCCCACCTGTGCTTCCCTCTGAGGGACAGGAGGACCTAATGGAAAGCTAGAAACCTGCTGGTGGGCACTGAGTTGTGCCATGGCCTGCTGGAAGCTCTGAGAAAAAAAGAGTCATGGCATGCTCTTGTAATCTTTGTTTCTTCTTGATCTTTGACAGCCCTGGGAGACATGGGCTCCCACAGACCTATCTGGAGGGCTGTGACTTCTATATGCAGACTTTTTGCTTAAGACTGGAGCCTAGGTAATTGTGGGAGTCTGGCAGAGCCCAAAGGGTTGCTTTGGGGGATAGCTGGACACAAGTTCATTACAGAATGGTGCAATGCAGGGTTTCTTAACCTTTCCCAGAAGCAACTAGGATGGGAAACTGTCAGGGATGAAATATTGGACTGCTTATTGGAGCTATCATGATCTAGCCTGTATTTCTGTCTGATACCATGTGAAAAGAAGATACTCTGAATCTTTAAAAAGGGCATGTTCCACAGTAAGCAAATTTAGTGGTGCTAATTCTCTGCCACTTCAGCCACTGATTTTGTAAGGACCTCCTCATATGACAGAGAAAAGTGGGCAAAATTCTCATTTAAAATGTGTGTTTTATGATGGTGTTGCGTGTTTGGTGTCTGCTTTTGGTTTCATGGGGTTTTCTGGTTTGTTTTTAATTACCTCTCCAGCAAGTTTGGGAAATGGCCCTTCGTCCTCCTCCTGAAGCTCCATAGTGGTGATAACCCATGCCCTCTTTGTGCGCCGGAGAGGACGTAAACTGTCTGACCGATAAAGCTCTGGTGCCTTTTAGGTAGAACAGTACATTAGTGACACAAAACTCACATACTCTAGTTTCTTACACCAGAATACTTCTCTTGACACAGGATTTAATCAGAAAAGCAAAATGTAGCTATAACCAAATGTGAAACTATAATAAACCTAGTGTTGAATTAAAGTTATCAATAGATCTAAGATTAGAATTGATCATTTCCTGACTCCCCACTCCCCCTCTCCATTCCTATTACCCCAGCCTAATATTCAGTACAACAGACAAAATGAGGAAAGTGATTTATGAGCTTACTATGCAATACCCCCACTAGTGAGACCTGGCCTTTTCCCAAATATACAAATGAACAGACACAGGCATAATAATGTTGGTAAATGATAATAATACCATATAATTTAATAGCAAATTCTGCAGAAGGTAGAGTATATCATAATTTATAATGTTATTATAAAGCTAAGTATTAAAATCTAAATTTAAATATATTATAAATGGCGATCAACACTATTTTTCCTTGATACATCCAGAGTCATGTTGCAAGATGAACAAAACAATTTACCACCATCAGAATGCAAGGTTCCTACAGAGAACTGCATTACCTGATCCTGGCCAGAAATGTATTTAGCATAGTTTTATTTCTTTTCACTCAACTTCAGACTGCTGCATTGCACTTAACTCCTTAAAAGATGGCGCTGAAACATTTTCACTTCACTGTGACTGGTGCCTTCGCTTAGTCTTGTTACTAACAGACAGTAACTCTAAATCATGTGATCTATCCCTACAGTGATTATCACTTTGTCTTTGTACTCCAGTAAGCACTGGGACATTCAAACACAGAATATTATACGAAAAATATGCTGGGGCGGGTTAGGTTGATTTTGCATGAAATTGCAGACAATGCAACAATGCAGTAACAGTGCAATGCAATGCAATAAACAGCTTTTTGCAGTTTCCATAGAAATAGTGAATTAAGTAGACCCCTAGTGATGCTTTTAATACATGCATTATAACTAATTCTGCCTCATCCTTCGTACTTTCTGGTCACTGCTGACTTGTAAGTAAACCAAGCTGAAGTTTACCTATCTTTCCGATCCTGACTTCAGATATCTCATTTATGAAATAACTTGAATTACAAACCTCGTTGATAAGTTCTCGGGTGACATCCTCCTTCTCATAAGGCAAGCTGCTGGCACAAGTAACCTTATAAAACAAGATGGTGACAATTAGGAGGATAGTGATTATGAAATGTTAATTGACACCTGAGCTTGCCCAACAGAAGGCATGTGTCCTTATCACCTGAAAACGGGTTCAAAGAACAACTGGCTCAAGTACTTATCAAACAGAAAAAGGGTATAAAACTGGTTGATAAAACTGGTTGATTAAATATGCTTTTCTCTGTACACAAGTTAGAAGCGTCACTGTCAGATTATGGTAGTCTTTCTGCATTATTACTTCCCCATGCCCAATTCCATACATAGCTTTTACTTAGCTAACGTTCCCAGTCCAAACCACCATTAGAAAATGCAAAGATCCAGATACACAAGGCCAATCCTATGCAACTCAGTGATCAGCTGTTTCTCTACTTTCTATCTCTAAGTTAATTAAGTTGCTTTTACTGTTGTTCCTGAAAGAAATCACTGGCCACATCCAGAAGTATGCAGCCATGCAGTATATGGTGCCATAGACATGTCTGTGGTGCTACATACTGCACATTCAACTGTTCTCCACACTGCAAGGTAATAACGCTGGGGGTGGGGTTGACCCTGTGATATCCAGAGGTCAAAAACCCCATGCATAAAAAGCAGAGCAGAACAAGCAGCAGCAGCACAAGATGTCCCACTGCTAACTGACTCCCGGGAGCCCAACGTCCATGCTCATGTGGACACAGCCACTGGGTGCATCTAAGTGTGCAATTAGCATGCAGAAATAAACTTTGGCAAAGTTAGCTCTGGAGTTTATTTCTCCCAGGCACAGCATTTACATGTGCACCTGGGACTGCAGCGCATTGAGCCAGGGTGAAGCAGCCCCAGACTGGCAGATGGCCAGGAGGGTCAGCCTGCCAGCCCGGGGCCGCTTTGTCCCATGAGGAAGGACTGGCTGGGGCATGAGGGTGCTACAGTATGGGGGCTAGCTGGCAGGCAGCCCCCACACTGTAGCCCCATCATGCCCCAGCCACCATCTACACATGCACTTGCATTTTGGTGCACTAAATGACTGTGCTGTAGGATAGTACTTCTCCTGGACAGTACCATCCTACAGAGAAGTTAATTAATTTACTGTGCCCTAAAATGGCTGCACGTGTAAACGGTGACACTTTAGTGTGCAGCTAGTCAGCTCTTCAGTAAAACACAGGTGTAGATGCACCCACTGGGTGCACCTACATGTTCATTAATACTTAGTAGTTACTGCACATTCAGTTTAGTACTTGCTAAATCAAATACTAAATAAATGTGTAGTAATTAGAGCTACTGCGCACTAGCACCGGCGAATGCCTTTTTAGTGATGCTACTGTGCAATAGCCTAATAACATTGCCCAATAGTGTATTAGCACTGTCTGTGCTGTGGCACACTACTGCACAGTGTTATGGGGCTACTGCACTTCAAGTATCTCGTGTAGACGCACTCACTAAGTAGGATAGTTTTCCAAAGCACTCATGTGGGCCTACCGTTGCCAACTGAGGTTGGTGTAATGGGGGACAGAAAGAGTCTGGTGCTATTCAACTTAACATACCTCAACTTTACTTGGTCTGCAGCTGACTCCTTGAAAAAGTAAAGGAATGAGAGAAAGTACCTAAATCCTTTAGGCTCCTCTAGAAACTGAAAATCTACAATAAACAATATTGCCAGCAAAGCATGAAAGATTTCTGTTGGGCATCCAGTGGGTTTATATCTTCAGCAAATAAGAAGCAAATATCTTCTTTCCAGGCACTGGCTGTAACCACAAAACTGGAATCTAATTTGGTGCCTACAAAGTGACCTGCAAGAGTAGCTCCATTCCTTGTACCATCAATTTAACACTTCAGTTCAGCTGTGGATAAAGCATTGTGATTACAGCTTGTGCCACCACAACAGAGATCATCCTTTCAAGAGTTCTGTTCCTGTACTAAGTTAAATAAGGAAGGATACTGTTCTCTATTGACATATGGTAGGTATGTTTCTAGAAGGTGGCTGTGAGGAGTGCCGGGAGCAGGGAGTACTGCTCTCCTGGATCTCATTTGGTGTCAGCTTCTCTCAGATTTCCTGTATTATTATTGCTCCGCATTGGTTTTGCAGATTGTTATTACCTTAATGTTTTCCCAACTGAAGCCCCTACAAGGATGTGCAAAGCTACTCCTATATAACTAAATGGTCAACCATCTCTGTTTCCCCCTTTTACATCCACGGGCTCGCACACACAGGTAAGAATCTAGTTTTTGAAACATGCCGGCTTGCTCCAAAAAGCAGATACTCTCCAAGCACGTAGAAAGGAGCAGCCTGAAAGGTTCTCTCTATAAGTTACTTAGTTCAAGAAGGACCTTTTTGTGAATGGATATTTATTTGCATTACAATGGATTTTTCAGGCATTCTTTAATGATGCTTTAATGATAGCTGGAGTCAGTCAAGCTATAGTGATTTATGTGCACTGAGCATCTGGTCCAGGACTCTAGAGAGGTAAAATGTTTCTCTCTATTTCCCCTGCTCCCGTGCTCCCCCCTGCTCTTCTGAAAGGTGCTTTAAGGAAAAAAAAACTGGACAGTGCTGAACGTGCGAGCTGAACAAATTGCAGAGCTCTGACCAATAATAGGGTACAAGGTAGGAACTTACTTTAGTGACATTTACTGTGCCATTACCAGACAGGCTGTTAAGGACAGCTCCCACCATGAATGGAAACCTGGAAGTACTTTTCATAGGATAACAGGAAACATTTTCTAACAGTATGCTGTGAAACCTATTACATCAGCCAATTCTGACAATGTGGCTGGCCTGGAGATAGTAAGGAGCTATGTTTGATCAGAGCCTTAAAAAAAAAAAAAAAAAAGGCTGAGAAGCCAAATACTAGATCTTAGATGTTCAACATAACGAGAATCTTAGAGAAATATTGCTGTTGTAAGGAACAGATAAACCTTAGAGTCATATTTGGCAGAGAAGGAAATACAGAAATTAAAAATAAGTAAATTATTCTTTTGCAGAGTGAAAGGAAATGTATTAAAATTCAGTGGTGCCTGAAAGGCTTGTAGTCTTACTAGACACAGCTAGATCTGACTAAGCTCACCCTGCATTAGAAGTTGACTTCAGGTCATATGCATCTCTCAGGATTTAGTAAAGAAAGGTGAAATGATTTACCTGCTACATATCAGGGGAATGTCCATGCTGAACAAGAATCAATGTGTGCTACAAGAATATTACAATAAATAGAGGAAATGAAAGGGAGGATAACAGAGTTAAAAGAGAAAGAGACTGGATTTGAAGAATCCAGCCCTTAGACTTCATAAGTTCTGTTTTGAGCCCAGAGGAAGGGTTACTATATGATCAGTTTAGCAGACCCTCGGGATGCAGTTGACTTTCCTGTGCCTCTATAGTAGCTCAACTATCTCTTATTTTTATTTGTTATAAGGGGCATAGGTTGTAGCCGTGTTGGTCTAAGGACATAGGCACACAAGGTTCTTTGGGTGAATCTGATATCTTGTATTAAACCAACTTAAATGGCTGGGGGTGGAAATTTTTAGCAAGCTTTCGGGTTTAAAATGTCTTGGTCAGGCTGAGGAAGTCTCTGCAGTTGGTGTGTTCTCTTCCAACTATTTATGTTGATCTAATTGAAGATCAGATCCACCCAAAGAACCTTGTTTGTCTTTCATTTATTATCACATTAGACTTGGGACTATGACTTTCCAGGGCAAGATTGTCCTTTTAAGGATATGTCTAGCACTGGTGCTTACCAATGTTTTCTCTTTCATAGGTTTCATAGATTTCATAGAGATTAGGGCTGGAAGGGACCTCGGAAGATCATCGAGTCCAGCCCCCCGCCCAAAGGGCAGGAAGTCAGCTGGGCTCATAGGATCCCAGCAAGATAAGCATCCAATTTGCTCTTGAAGGTGTTCACTGTAGGCGCTTGAACCACCTCCGATCGCAGGCTGTTCCAGACCTTGAGGGCTCGGAGGGTAAAGAAATTCTTACTTACCTGAAACGGTCTTGTAGTAGTTTATGACCGTTCAACCTCATCATCCCTTGGGGTGCTCAACAAATGTTCCCCCAGATACTGGTCGTAACCCTTGATAAACTTATTCTTTCTCAAGCTTCTTTTTTTCCCCTTAAGGAGCCTTTGCCATTTGATACAACTGCCTTTTCAAAAATGTCCCCCAGAGAAAAACTGAAGCAAAGCTAAATGAGGATTACTTGGCTGGATAAACTCTGCCAGGATCAGGGCCATTCAAATACTTTTTTAAAGACCTAGCTCTTATTCCCGCCCCAGAAGAACACTTTGTGCTATGCATAAGCCTAAAATAGCTAGAGGAATTGCACTACCTATATAAATATTTTACTATCATTCGAGATATTAAGGGAAAGATCAATTCGAGGAAGTGTGATTTAAGAAAAGCTCATTTCATCTTGTATGTGATAACTTTTTAGCATTAGCCAGTTTTCAAGGCAACTGCAGAGCTGATTTGTGTATGCAGTCACCACAATATACATACAAATGTGGCAGTTGCACATCCATGTGACTAGAAGCATCAGTTGGCCATGATAGTGCTAACTGAGTTTGTAATTTTACACATATTTAGCGTAAGCCACTTTAATGTGTATAGCTGGGCAGATGTTTAAGTCTGCCTAAAGTGCACATTAAGTGCACAAATGCATATATAAAGCCAGTGTGTGTTTACCTTGACTTTTGGGTGCAGAAAGATTGATTACACACAGAAATTAGTGTCTGAATAGACATTATTTTCATGAGTTTTGCCATGGCAATCCTCTTGTGCTCCTACATAGTCCTGGCAATCATTCATGCAAGCACTGGGATCAGTACTGCCCAAACTATAGTGTGTAGCAAGACTATTCACATTGTTTTGAGGATAAGCACTCACAGGGCACAGACAGAAATTACGTTTGTCACGCAATCGGCCCCCTGAAAGTACTCTACAGCCACACCGTGACACATGCACAGCTGCAGAGTGCTTTTAAAGAGGCCAATCCTACAACAAATTAACCCTCATCAAAGGAGGGATCAGATGAAGGCGCTCCACTTTCGAGTGCCTTAGGGAATTTGGGCTCCCTAGGGTTAATCTACTGCAGGATTGGGCCTGTCTGCAGGAGGGCAGGGCGGATAGGGGAGCGGGAGCAAGCTGCTGGCTAAGGTTTGCCTGGCCTGAGCTGGAGGGGGTGTGGATTGGAGCCCCCCCACCTTGCAGCCCCCATCAGCCCCATCCCCATCCCGCTCAGGTCAAGCTTATTCTTTTGTCTCAGAAAGAATATGCAGTTGTCAGTTTAATCTCATCAACCCGCAACTGTAACCATTCCCTGGAGAACCGGCATTTGCGACTAACAAGCCTGAAATAAAAAATCTTAGCTCATATAAGCCCATACAAATTTTAGTGGTCTTTTTTAATTCTTCAAAACAAATTGGCTTCAAATACAGGTCAGGAATGAAGGGTGAGACTCCTGGCTGGTATAAACTGGCATCGCTCAAACGACTTTGGTAAAGCTCCTAGTAGTGGCTTAGGATCTGAATTTTCTTAAGTTACAAAGCGAACACTCAGTTAAGGAAATACGTCAAAAATGTAGCGACTCACAGGGTGGTAAGCAGAGCTGGGAGAAAGGCATGAAAATCACCCTGAAACAGTGGTGCTTATTTAAATTGAGTTGGATTTGGCACCTGTTCGGAGGGAGGAAAATCAAGACTTGAATGGTACCATCAACTTCAGAGAGTCCTGTATATCAGAGGCAAGTCTGCACTTTGTACTGAAGATACAGCTCCTATCATCCTCCATTTTACTGGATTCTGGACTGGGGACATTGACCCACTATTTTCTTCACTTGCTAAGCCAGCTACACTCTGGGGAGGGCAATCAGGCCAATATGATAAACTCTGCCAGAGGCTGAAGTCGTCTTTTAGACTTCTTAGCTCCCCTTTCAAGGGGCTTAACATTTTGCCATAGCGCACAGCTTATGGGGGCACAGTAGGCCAAAAGGGCACATGCTTGGGATAATAGGAGAGACTGTATTTGGGCAAAGCTTCAGGGACAGTGAGGTAGATATATTTTTAACTTGAGGCCGGTCCAACAGAATGGAGCCCCTTACTTCAAGAGGCCAAGGTTCCCTGGAGAAGGCTCAGGATAACGCCAGACCTTTGATCTGCTGATGAGAATTGTTTGCTGATAAGCAAAAAATACAGGGTTCAACTTCCCTTTCAACCTCCCTCTGAGCGAAGGGAGCTCAAAACCTGGATCTCCTGCTCCCCAAACAAGTACTTCAGTGTTTACAGCGTTGAACTAAAACACAGAAGGGCCCACTGCGTCCTTTGGTTTTACTAGCAAGCACCTGTACAGGTGAGCAGGGTGCGTTTAGTTCACCGCATGGAGGTTTGTGGAGTCTGAAATGATGCGGGAGTGCCAAAAACAGGAGTTAGGCAGCTGCACAACTACCACGTCAGCTGTCCCGTGCAACAGGAGTCCGCCCCAAGCATCTGCAGTGCAGGACAAGCGTACCAGTAAATCCTTAAATGAGGCTCCTATGTGATACAGCTTCTACTCTTAATGGAAGGAATAAAAAAAAAAAAACCCCCAAAACCTGCCTATTTAAGTCAAGTTTATGGCCTCTCCCTGCACCTGTATATAAGCTGGATCCTGGAGAAAGACTTTGAGTAAAGCAAATGCACAAACCCCAGTGAGGATGAACCTCAACTTTAATACCTAGACCACAGATCCAAAGACCACTGCCTATCGTACTGATCACAATAGCTTAAGTGGTTTCCTTGCACTCACATCTCGGTCTGGCTATATTCCCCTCTCCCGATCATTTTATACTTGGCCTACAGGATCTCTGTGACATCCTTTTGTTCTGCTGTTCATGCAGCACCAGGCACAATGGGGCCCTGGCCCATGACTGAGACTCCTTCACGCCACGGTAGTAATTTCGTGATGCTCGTTCACCTTACACAGCAGGAAGGGACTCTACCTATAAAGGACAGAGCCCCCTTCCACGAGGGCGAAGCGAGCCTGATGCCTCTGCGCAGCCGGGAGCTCCAAAGCGCAGAGAGTGACACAGGACAGGGGACTAGTGACAGGGAGAGGGAGAAGAGACTAGTGATGGGGAGTGGGGACTAGTGACGGGGGAGAGGGAACTAGTGACAGGAAGAGGAGACTAGTGATGGGGAGCAGGGACTAGTGACAGGGTAGCGTAGACTAGTGATGGGCAGCGAGGACTAGTGACGGGGAGCAGGGGCTAGTGAGCCAGGGGAGTCTGAAGTCAAGCAGACCAGAGGAAACTGGCCCCACAAGCGCCTTCTACAAGCATCATGCGATGCACTGGTCGCCGGGACAAGGGCAGCATATGAAAGCGCAGATCGCGGGGTCCCGGCTCCCGGGCCAGGACCCGGCGGGGCCGGCGCCACCAGGTGCGCCCTTGGCCTCTCCGGTGCCAGGGGAGCAGGGGACCGGGCTCCCCATCCGCAGGCAAGAAGGCATCTCGCGTGCAACCCTCCCCTCGCGACGTGCCCGCGCCCCTGCCCCTGCCGCCCCCAGCCCGCACCTACCGCCAGCGGCAGCAGCAGCAGCAGCGGTAGCGGCAGCAGCAGCATCGCGGCGTGGAGCCCCATAGCAGCAGCCAGTTCGCAGCGCGGCTCCCACTTTATCCGAGCAGCACCGGGAGCCTCGCCCGGCCCGCCCCGCCCCCGGCAGCACGAGCTGCGCGTCCCGGTCCTGGCGCCCGCTGCCTCCCCTGCGTGAGGCACGGGCCTGGCCCGGGCAGCGGCCTCGCCTGGGCGCGCGGCTCTCGCCGCTGGACGGTGGCCGGCCGGTTCGGCTGCAGCTGTACGAATGTCCGGGAGTGAGGCAGGTCTGCTGTCCGGTAGTCAGGGACTCCTGTCCATCCTGGGGGTTGCTTGACAGATACTTTTGGTTTGAATTTTGTGTGCCTGGATAAGTTACCCAAATGGGTTCCGAATCCTATCCGTTGAGCTGACCTCAGTTGCTCAAATCCATGTGGCGCTACCACCGGCAAGCCGCCTCTTCCCCAGACCTTTCAGCCTGGAGCTTCAGATCCTTCCAAAGCCGCGGCAGGAAGCCTATGTGCAGGCCCACGTTGGGAGGTCTTGGGTTTGGATGCCGCATGTCATTTGCCCTGAACAAACATCCTGAAAGAGCAAGTTAGGGGGAAATCTCCCATCTCCAGAAAATAGGTGTGAAGCTGAGATCCCTCCTGGGGGGGGCTGCCTGCAGTGCAAGGACAGGTCTCCACCCTCTACTACACATAGTCATTCAGAGGTCAGGAAGAAGGGGATCACAGCAGGAAACCCCCTGGACTAATACTACGGTATTTCCCCTGCCAGGTAAGTACCGCCAGGTTGCTTGACAGGTACCCGCTTTCAGTGTCTGGGCTATACATGCCGGAGTAACGTACATATTTCTTTCCAAGTGTGGTTACCACATCTCCTTTCCCAGCTGTGGCTAGCAACAGTGCCAGTGAACGGTCAGCATCTGCAGAATGCAGAACTGCAAACACTTACAACCAACAGCCTAAAATCACCAAGAATATTCAAATAATCTGTGAAGTGGCTTGGGTGGTCACTTGAACTTGTAAGCCTCCTCAAGACAGCTCTGTGCAGAAGGTGGCAAGTCCACTTATTACGGTAGTACTGTGTCCCACGGCTCACCTGTCCTCATCTGGCATGACAGCCCTGTGTCAGGTTATGGGGCTGAATGCAGAGTCAGAGTCTGCCCTCCCTGGATTTCTG